GTAAGAATTAAAAGAGGTTCAGGTCAAATTGGCATATAGCGCACGGCAGCCGTGTATCTGTATGCATGCACGCATATACACCATGAGGCATGGTGATTCTCTTTAGAGGCAGATAGCGCGATGAGCAGTAGGTTTCAGTATCATGGTTTTTCACAAATCGGCAAGTCGTTAAATACACGCGAAGAGATGATATTAACGGGTGACGGTGCTGCTGGGCCGGCGTAACACGGGAGCACTGGCAGCGATGGGATCCCCAAACGGTGGTACGGTGGCAGCAGCAGCAGCGGCAGCGGTAACACCAAGTACAAACTCATCGAGGTAACGGCGGGCCCGTTAGCGGCGCGATGCACCATCATCGTGCTTAGCCTTGCCGCCGCCGCCGCCGCCGCCGCGATCGTCGTGAGCTTCACGGCGTCGAGTCGGCCGGTCATGGAGCAACCATCAAGCTAGCCAGTCAGGGAAGCTACCGTCCGCCTGTCTGTCGACAGTGCTATCATACTTGTTGTAACGTCGGCAGCGGCCTATCGGTGGCAAGAGATACTCCTGAATTGTCTTTCGTCATAGATCGGACCAGAATACGTTCGACGATCCGAGCGGAGAAATAATGTGGTGATGATTGCTGCCCTGGCCACCGAACCGATCAGCTTTACATAGATAGGCTTTCTCAACTTACTAGCTATCTGGTTCGATGGCGTCTATTGTTGAGACGATGCCGAGACCGCGATCCACCCTGCTTGGTGGTCACGAAGTCCTTTCTCAGATTACTGCAGCGCCGACAACGATGGCCAGAGAAGCATGAGCGTCAGCAACAACGACCAGCGTCACTACCACGGCACGTTAATGGCCTCGAAGGCTCACACGAGAGAAATTTTTCATTTTGTACTATTTATATATATAAGTAGTTATAGGTAAATGATCACCGAACAACAAATCTGCCGTGTCCACACTATGGACATGATGGTGCATTATATATATTATGTAAAATTTTCATGGGAATTTGTCGAACTAGCTTCGTAGAGTCTAAAACTCACGAATATTTCCTGTTATTTTGATTGATCAGTCGACCAAAAGTTTCCGCATTATATGTATTCTATTTGTGTGAATTATGAGATATATTTAATAAGTATAACCTTTGACGACGTTCGATATCCAAACGGTTTAAGCCGTTGGCACATCGCTGCCAGTTCTACAGAACACACGTTTTCTGAACGGTACCGCAAAACACGATAATCAAAATTAGGCTTTATCCACCGCAAAGTCTAATAATTACGGTACATTTACTGTCCTAGTTCGACCCTATGAGGTGGTTTACCTTAGCGCAGTCTCCCCTATGGTGCCGGACAATTTATGGCTTCACATATGAATTTCCTACTGTTACTTTCTCTCTATCACAACCTCTATTCTTTCGTTTGATGCCTATTCTTTATTTTAGTAATCATCGCTCGTTCTTCATAAATATTTGGTAATAGTCTTTGTTCCGATGGACTTGCCTCCCGTACCATAGTAGTCATTAATTTTTCTCCGTTAAACGAGGTATACCGTCTGTTTAATATTCGATACTTTCTTATCATTGTTTCTGTTGATCACTCGCTGGTGTCAGTGATGCACCTCGTGACGCTTCTATAAGTTGCTGGCTATTGAGTGGAACGCAGCCGTTGTGGCTGAGGTTGACTAATTATTTTTGGTCCCTCTACTATAGATTAGCAGTGGACTATTGAAAAGCAATAGACAGTCTTTTTCACCGAGGCAACAAGCGAATAGATAATAATGCCCCGTAAATTGCCTGTTGACTAGCTTCATACGTGGTGATGTATGCTTACCGCACCCAAGCCTGCCGCGAGTGAAGCGCTATTGTGGCCTACCTACTGTTGTCCTAAAACTCATTCAAGTGGGGATCACTGCTAGGGCCCCATATCGACGCAGCGACGAATGTAATTATCCAGCAACAGCAACCTTAGTCTAATATTAGCGATAGAATCAATTGAATTGGAAAATTACAAATTAAACCTGCCTACTCGAATTTAACCTAATCTCTGATTACTTTGAGCCTCCTTATCTTATTTAGGTGTGCCTAAAGAACAATTCGCTCTTGTATGACAAATTCGTATAAATATACTTCGACGTTCCCTGTGGTAATATCATTGTTTATTGATGCGGTGCCTGCGGTATCAATGTACTGGGTAGTTTTCAGATCCGATTTATTGCTGTTGATATTATATAAATAAAGATAGATATTGTGTATTGAAATAAGCCTTCAAACAGCTGTAGAGAGTACCTTTTATGACAACCGATTTTTGAAAAACGTGCTGAGATCAATGTTAATTTTTTCACGCTGCAACACGCGAGTGAAGACTGTATGTATATTCATTTGCATAGTACAAGGCTATTGCCCAGAAGAATCATATAGACGCTTATTAGGAAAACTATTAAGGTTCCATTTCCATAGGCTTGCAAGTGATATGGCTCTCAGGGTGGTTTATAAGCGATATCTCTAATGACCGTCTATTAATCCAAATGAGACTGATGAACTAGTATAGGCTAAACCTCACTGTGTGTCTACGAGCCTGGTATCATAGGTCTGGCCACTGTAGCTATTCTAATTGAAGGGCAAAGCATGACGATTTGCAGATGTGCGCCTCGACTTCCCGAATGCAATTTAGCAGTGTTATTATGAAATTACACAGACATCAAGTTCAGGACAAAACCTTAGCTTTGATATCCACTTAACTTACTCTCAGCGCGATTCTATAATGCAAGTTTACTTGACTTGATAACTGGCCGTTGGGATGCTGTTGGTTCCTCGTGATAGTCTGATGGGTAAAGTGTTTGCCTGCTAGCCTTAGGGACCCATCGTAGCCTAGGTTTAAATCAGGGTATAATCACTCTTCGCTTCGTGCTTGGAGCCAGCCATCCGATGGAATATCTAACAGCGATGCCGGACGTAGAACTCGAAACATAGGGGTTCTCTTATATGAAGCATGGTTCATAAGCTGTAGGCAGTTCAGCTGGTCTTTGTCTTGATTGGAAAAAATAGCTGTAATCTTCAAGGGTCTTGGTAACAAGGTAGTTGGATGGTAACGTAAAACCGTTAAGTATGTTTTAATGTCCAGCTGTATCGTCTCGTCAAGGCAATGTTGCGTACGTGTTGAACGGTTGTCCGTAACTTGAACGTTGTTACAATTCTGATGTCGTCTGGACATTAAGGCTTGTTTACAGAACCGTTTTCTCTTGTCCATTGTCTATGTTTTAGGCCGCAATTGTTTAATTATACCTTAGTTTATTTATTGTTCAGACATGTAGCGCGGTATCTTGAAGACGTATCGCCGCACCCTATAGAGTAAAGCAAAAAATCTAGTGGAGGATGCGACGTTGTCGGGAGTCGATTATGTTGACGTTAGTATGTCGACTACGCACAGCAACTGATCTCAGAGTCTGCCTGCCGCGTGATGGAGCCTTTTGAAGGCTGCATAGGTCTCTACAGCCTGGATGCGCATTCTGATTATTTTGCAAGTTGGAAAACTTCTTTATGATATAACAAATAGATTGACGAGTTTCGAATTGAAGAAACGTATGCATAATGGCGGTCCGACGACACAAGGCGTGCTAAACAATCATTTTGCCTAGAACTGGCACGTTCAACAAGATGAAAAATCGCGTCTTGATATTATTTGATATATTTTGATAATATTAACACACTTTCCACAACGCATATATATATGTATATGCTTACTCATAATTGTTTCTCTTGACTAAATGAAGGCGTCACTTAGTCATTATCCACGATACTGTTCTTATACGGCACACTGGTCGTATCTAGATAACGTGTTCATTAACGTCGGATCACTTATCGGAATAGACCCAAGCGCTATCAAAGTAGCACGCTCAATATTCAGTGTTGAAATTTCCGTCTAACGAAAATCTGCGCTTATATTGCGCGATGTTGTTAGTAGAACTGTTGTTGTTGTTGACGGTGGAAGCTACACATTTACCTGCATCGATCACTACGCCTAAGCGCTGACGAAAACAACTTGCTACGATACTTATTTCGATATTTTTTTGTGAATGATTGCAACAAGCAGAGTTGAAAGTTCTAACGTACGACTTATGTATGTGCCCGCAGCGTCCATCAAAAGCGAATAGCTGGCCAGGCGAGTTTTGCTAGGTCTAACACAGTGGGCATGTGTGCACTAGCCCAGCCATCACAGACAGCCAGCGTTCAGTTCCTACACGTGCACCCTAGCTGTCGGTAAGCAAATTTCCCTGCCTGTATAGCTAAAGCTTAGCTATGACTTTTCCTCGTCGCATCTGAAGAACCGCTGCCATAGACAGTAATGATAGCTCGGTGCACTCTGCGTGTTCGGATAACGGAAAAATGACGTGACTGATCCCACTCGAAGACCTACCAATTTCTGACAGTGTGACAAATCGCAGGAAAAATCTTAAAACAATTGTTAACAATACAATGTCCTTTCTGTTTGAGTCGATGTAACATCAGGAAAATTAAGCACAGCTATATAGTAGGCTGCTAATACAGGTTGATTAATCTTAAATGGTCCAATAGTCTGAAATGCCTAAGTTGCTGATGGCTGTCGATAGCAGCGGATAGGTTTGGCCGAACGGGGCCTGGCTGAAAAGGCACCCTTATCCCTGTACCAACCCCTTAAATTGATATAGCGATATGAATTTTTTAACGAACCATTTTGAACTTCGTACGGTAGAGCTTTACGCGATACATAGCCGTTACTGGCTAAAAGTTCGAAACGTACTCACTTGGAAGATCGTGTGACTCGTTTCGTTCTTCTAGATTATTTGTTCGGCAGACTTCTAGAATGGTCCATTAACGAATTGATAACTACGTATAGTTAGAAGACGGCCATTGCTATCGTATATTTTAGTTTACAAAATTCGCAATAATAATAATAATAATAAGAGTAATAATGGTATCATCGAGTGTTGCAGCAAGCGAATTTATTAGCATCTTTTAGAATTTTTCTTATTACGACGCCATCGTAATAGACACTTAATAAAATCGCGTTTGAATACTAACCCGACTGAAGCACCGTCGGGTAAAAATTACGAGTTTGCTTGTTAGTTTTAAGATGGCACAAAGTAACCACTTGAAAATAGTTCTGACAATTGAAAGTTGAAGCACGGGAAGATGCCTCCCGTGAAAACGGTGATGAGCATAAATAATACAATTATTTCATACACAATATAATAAGCTTTATAGGTCAAGTAAATGGTGGCAACAAGCGGACGGACAATCGAATATAAACTTCAATTAACATAACACCTGGTTCTTTTTTTCAAGTTCAAACATGCGCGCTAAAGACAGCTCAGGGGACAGAATTATTTCGAAACGGGCGTGATGAAGTACTCGGCAATTTTTCTAGCCATAACGAAAATGAACGAAAACGCGGCCCTACAACAAACGAGCGGACTAAGTACTTCTTCGAAATATATTCACGATGCAATAACGAGATACGACGTGTTTAACAATTATCATCTAACTGTACGATATAGATTCATCATTGAGCTACACTGGCTGTCAGATACCTTCGCACGTCAGTTCGGATTGGGTTTGCTACTTCTATTGTTTAAGCCCGACAAAAAGTGTTTCCAATAAGCGACGCTCAAGAGGCGTAACATTTGCTTGTTGACATGACGCAATTCCTTTTTGCGGCGATTTCATACCGTACAGCATACGCAGCCATTGTCTAACATGCAAATCTAGTGTCATGATATTATTGTTATTGTTTTTAATTCGTAAAATAAAATTCAACGTTAGCATGCACCCTATACTATGTTAGATTTTTGTCTGCGTTCATGGCGAAAGCGTCCCGGTTTGTTCTACTTCTATGCGTAGACTTGGTTTTACCAAAGGACACTCGGGTCAAAAGCGTATACAAAAAAACGCTTTCATAGACTCCAAGGACGCTGTACACGTCGAACGGCAACTGCCACCCGGTACGTAAATAGGATTATTAAATCATTTTTATGCGATCATCGAAGTAATGCGTTGAGTGCTCCTAAAAGCGATTAGAAAAAAAACACCTGTTTACCGCGTTGCCGATAGAAATCTCTGTCTACAGCGACGTTCATTGACCTTTAGCATTTGTCACCCTCTAATAATTCCGATGCGTTTGTAATTTCGCATAGATCAGTATCAGACGAGCGGCTGCATTCATTTCAGCGTTCGAAATGGCGTGACAAGTAACGCCATAGAATTAGTTTCAAAGTACGAAGCGCACAACTGTAGCATATCCTTTAAAGTGATTTAGCTTGCAATCTAACGCTAGTGAGAGCGTGTGAGTGCGCTAAGAACGCGCTTTAGCCGGAGAGATCTACCGCCTTAGGTGATTTCGCCATTGCTCAGAATTAGCCGGATCAGTACGTCTGCCGAGTCGACGCCACAGATAGCCTGCAACTAGTTAAGGCAACGCTGCTTCGCGTTTGTGGCAGGCTTTCGACAGTCGGCCGCCACAAGCCGTCCAGAAGGGTCGTGTAACCAAAACTTCGATTCAACAAGTATCACACACTTCGCACGCTGGGAGTGAGCAGTCCAACGAAAATGGCACAAAAGAACGAAGGAGATTCACTGGCAAACGTCGCAAGCCACGTCGACTTGAAGTGGTAAGAAAGCTGGATTCAATGGAACTAAGTGTCGCCTGGACATATCGGTTCTAAAAGAAGAATCGTCAAACCAGATAGCAGCATTTAAGCACGGAAGTCACATACACACATGAGCACAGCTCAAAGAGGCGGGCGGCGACGACAAACTCTCGTCGGTCGTTGGCTGACCAATCCAAACGCGCAGGTTATCAGCTACCGATGCTATGCTACCGCGGTTACAGTTGCTAGTCGATTACTTCTTTTCATTCGGTTTTTTTCGCTCGACCGAACTGCGGTCGATATCCCGATCGAACTCGGATTAAGCTCTTCTTTCTTCTGCGTTCAAATTTAGATTTATTTCGGATATAGATCAAGCTTTATGTTAACGCTGATGTGGCTGCTTCTGGTTTTGAGATGAACGGCACTGCCAATGCGCCTTGTCTCATCTAAGTAGCTGGGGTACTCCTGTGTGTTCCACCGTGGGGCACCGCTGGCTCGGTCTCCGTGGAAACACCGAACGGAAGGGATGAAGAAGCCGAATATAGAAAAGTGTCCGGATGCATAACCCCGTCATATAAGCGTGCCCTATAACCCACTAGACCACTATCCGTTCGAATTGTATAGGCGCGTTATAGAAAGTACATTTAGCAATAACTGCCCAAGGCACAGCTTATCGAATTGCCTCCTTCGAGTATCCTAGACTTCCAATGGAGTAGCAAGCGATTCCGAAACTGGTCTTCCTCCAAAGTATCCATTTCGCAACAAACAGATTACCTGTATTCAAAAAGAAGAATGCTCGTGTTATATGTATTATGACGCTTCTTGCTGCGAGCATCCTATGTAGCTTCCATTGAGTCTCAGTCAACAGATGTTTTACGAAACGGTAAGCTATTGTATTTCTGGGCAGTTACGTCCTTCTTTAATTTAATAGCCCAATAATTACCGAATGTCACTTATAAAGAGGACGTTATCTAAGAACCCTAAGTTAAACGGACTCTTTATGAGTATCGATGAATCATAAAAAATACTTTTAGGCTACCTAGTTACACAGTAGATATCTGCTATGATCACTAACCCTAAGCATACCTTTAAATGGATAAAAAAAAATGGGAATTAACATTCGACTAAGCCAAGCCCGTTTTTCGTTTCTCCTGTCACCGTTCTACTTGCCTTTATTGCGTAACTGATAAACAGACAGATGTCCAAAAATCGCGTACATCCAGAATACTTGAGCAGATCACGCATCTACTATGAAACTTCACCTTTTTACCGCTATCGGGAAAAGAAAGAACCAAAATTATATTAAAGGCGGTGCTACAATATCTCATGTACGTATGTTGCTGCGGTTGGGAAACCAGCTCACCTGCCTGCCTGCCTGCCGCTACCGCCCGGTAACAGTCGCGGCCGAAACACGCCATAACAGCTCGCCAGTAAACCAGTTTCATACATTTGAACAATGATGACGAAGACGACCGCGTAATGACTACCAATCAGCGCGTGCAGTAGGAATCCGCGGAGGCCGGTGTGTGTACGTATCTGGACGTCTGACGTAAGGCAGGTAAGTTGCCTGTAAGCTACCGAGGCTGGTTTATCTAGCTGTAATACACGAGTCAGCCATAGGTTGGCGCACTGCAACATGGTTTCTACATGGTTTGATGAATCGCGAAGAGATACATCATTCCCAATGGGGATAAAGCCGCCTTTGATTTTGCCACTGTATTTGCACCCGTTTTTCTTCATAGCAGCATCGTTTGTCGGCTAAATTTCGACTCGATTTGTTCTTCAGTTTAGTGTTTGTTATGTTGGTCAGTGCGATTCGGACGCATCTTTGTATGCACTTATATTTATATACTTGCTTTCCTCATGTCGCCATCGTTGTTGTTGTTGTTCGTCGCCTTTTCTGCTGCTCTTATTATACGCTGCCGATCTTTTTGGAGTAGCTGTCGTTGTTGAGTCCTGTCGAGGACCTTGGTGCGTCGACCGCCAGCCAGGGACCTCCGAGCACCGCCGCTTCCGCAGCCGCTGGGTGATACAAAATGAGTCGTTCATCTCTTTCCGCGTCCACTGCCCGCCACTCCCTTCGGCTTCTGTCGATCGATGGACCCTTCAACTATTGCTTCAGCTATGTCCGCCTTCGTCCTACGGGCACAGCAACCCTATGCACGTACAAAGAAGATGAGTTTCTCTCAAGGTAGTAGCGGATAGATTGGCACTGACTATCGGCAACAGCCGGTCAACCACTCTCAAGATCGTCCTCATGTCGTTCGTTTTGCCTTAGTCGGGATCGACTAGTTGTGTTTTTGGGTCTTCATCGATATCTTCGGTCATCCTCATCGAAACTGATCATCAGTCGCTACTGTGCAGCCGCAAATCAGCCAGCATTAACGTCCATCGCTGTTTACTGTTGTTCGCTCAGAGTTTCACGTTGTTTGGCTCTTTTGCTTTCGTAACTGACGACACGAAGAAAAGCAAGCCTTTAGCTATTACTCTACTCGTTCACTTTTAAGATGGGCAAACCTTTAAGTATACCTGCCAAGTCGATTCCCATTTCCTTGACATTCCAAGACCTCGACCAGTATGTGGGATGCAGAACTAAACTTCCACACGATTCCCACAACGGCGAACATTTACGACTAGAGTTTAGTTCGATGAAAGGCAGGAACTTCAGAATAAGTTACTACAGTCGTCTAAGCATAGCAACGACGACACTCGAAATTGTTTGAAAGGCGCTCCCATAGCTTCAGGTCAAATATTCAAATATCTAGTATTATCTGTGAAGATATACCAAAAATATGAATAGAACACATATTAAACTATCATAGAGGTAAGCAAACGTTAAGCTACACTCTAACCAGAACGGCAGTCGGTTTTTCGGGGTGATTATTATGGAAATCATTCTATTTCGGATGACGCTATTACTCCAACATTACAAAACATATATCACGGCCTAATCTATATTATATATATATATATATATATATATATATAAAATACAGGAAAAATTCGGTTAGGTCTGGCTTTTTATCAGATAACTACTTCGTTACTCGTCAACATTACACAATTTTAGCGATTCTAGAAAGGCCACTCGAATAACCAGCATATCATTCGTGTAGATCGTATTCCTTGCCTTTTTTTTCCTTCAATTTTTTTTATACATTTTACGTATCGAGCAGTTTTACGATATATAAATACACCGTGGAAGGCTTTTTACTGATTACGTGTAACACTACCTAATTTAACCTAACCTAACCTAATTTGTACTGCCACAAAAATGAAAACTTAGGTTGGCCAAATGACGGCCACCTGGCCGTTGTCTTTTGCCTCTCCTTGGTGATACAGAGCATTTCTTTCATTTGCACACGACCACTAACATTTTGCCGCTAAATGCACCGAGAACCATTATCAAATTACCATTGCCATTTCTAAAATCATTTCATTATCAACACCGCACCAGTGGCAACGGCGCCACAATTGCCGCCGCCACCACCACGATGAAGATGATGATCAACGATTTCAACCATTAACAAGCATCATTATGACGCCTTGTTCTTAGGTAAGAATAACAACAACAACGACGACACTAGCGTCGCTCTAGCGATGTATGTCTTCTGCTTGTTTGTGGTCGTTGGCGGCGTTTTTGAACATTTATTCTGCTTCTGTTACTAATTTTGAAGTCCAGCGTCCATCGTCGCTGCTAATGGCAACCTTAGAGCTTCTCCGTTCGGACAGACAAATGCACCTACATACAGCAACAAAATTATCGCCCGATGCCGATCATCGTCATCATCATCCGAACAGAAATAATAATAATCGATGCTCGCCACCAATCGATGTGTTTCAAAAGCGAATTAAAGGCGAGAAACAGCTTTGAGCATCAACAGCTTCAGTGTCAGCCGCAGCAACGATAATACGGCCCCAAATACGAACGATAGACATGAAAAACAACAGCGACAATCCGTAACAGCGGTAGGAGCAACGCCATCTACGATTACAATGACAGCAACAGCGCCAATCAGATAAACAACATCGATTAGGTGGCGGCGCACAGATCGCCATTATTCTCATCTGATTTTGATTGGCACCGTCCACGGACCGACTCTCAACTGAGAGAATGTTAAGGGAGAGGGGAGAAAAGAAAGACGCCAGAAGCACAAAGATCCGTGGAAAAACGAGAACGGAACAACACTGGGGTTGGAAGCGACATGCGTAGGACAAACAAAAAATACAATGTCATTTACGAGAATGATTAATAACACCAGTGAAAGCAACAGATCTGTTATCATGTACATGCATTTTGCAGATTAATCATATTGGCCGTTCAAAAAAAGTGTCCCTCATAGAGAGTCGCTTGCTACGAAATGCACCTTAGAGAATTGTAAGTGAGTCGTCTATTTACCTGGCGAGTTCAAACCTAAAATAGTTCTAATAGACAAGTAAATTCCCCATAGAAGGGGTCAATCTGGCAGTATCGTAGATGATGGTCGCAATGTTGTCACTATTATACAATATCTATTACTGGATTCATACCACGATACAATTGACATATATACGACAAACGTCACGCACTAGAACCTAATCCACATAGTAGTCTTACGTAAATAAGCATAACGAGCGTGCTTTTTATGCGCTTTCTAATTGATGTCCATCCAGCGTGATGATAAGCGTGATTTGCTAACAAAAAGAATAGTTTTACTTTTTTAACGGTTGTCATCCACGTAGTGTATATGCATTGAAAATATCTTAAATATATGAATAATGTTCAAATATCTCTAAATTCAACCCCACCTGTATCCTTCTGTAGTATCGCATTGATTAAAGATATAGCGTTCTTACCCAAAAAACACAATTTGGAAAAAAATTTCCCTGAAAAAATGATGTATGAACTTGTTCAGCGAGAACCCATGAGGGAAAATCAAATATTGCACTTCGTTGTCAACTTCAGGTGAAAGTAAAAATCTTGCCCTAGATAGTAACTACGGGGTCACATCAATCCATGTCAACACGATCAATCAGACAATCGTTATTTCATCCCCATCCCCTATTCCTCTCTTTGTTTTTATAACGATTATGTGCAATAACAATGTGTTTGCAAATAAAAGGGCGACGTCAGACGAGATATATACGCGATTGAAATCATATGCTGTACAGCATCAAACTCATCATTTATTGACAAAATGCTTAGTAAATAATGAGCTAGATAACTGCTATAACGTTTGTCAATTACTATTGATCGCTTGATGTAACCATCTTTTGCGTGACGATATCAGTACGCAGTAATGTATAGCTGATCTAGTGTACATGATTCTGGTCAGTTCCTGACACATGCTCACCTTTTTTTCTATCTGTATTTATGTCAGATTTGTAGTGAGGTACGTCGCCGTCGAGCGATCATGGGGTCCTTGTTTTTCCGGATAGGCAATACTTGGGTAGTATGTATATAGGCTGATAAAAGTAGGTTAATGTGTGAATTTAGCATCAGTACGGTGTGAACGGAACGATTTAAGTGTAAATTCTCTCTGAATTAGAAATTTCTATAACAACGATGGGTATGAACTAAAAACATTTTAGTATCTTTATTGTGGTAAGCTTGGCTTATCAAGGCAGCGTAAATGGTTTCAGGGGTGACCATTGTTAAAGCAACTGTTCGATCAGTAGCTGCTCCACTGAAGCGTGAACCTCAATAACCTGATCTGCACTAGTTTATTGAGCTAGTCCATATACTTCAAGGTACTTGTGAATTGCATATTGGCTTGCTTCCTGTCTGTGACACGCAGAAATACCAAGCAATAGAGTTTTTATATTACTTTAAAATCTAATACTTGAGCTTCGTTACAGTGCTTTACGCTCACAATCAATAACCATATACTTGGGATTGTTATAATGATTTGTTGGTGACGTGTAAGCTAAGAAGGGGGTACGCTCCGTGTGCGCTCTAGACGCAGCTTATTCAGTGGAAGCGAAGTAATCTTTGAAAATTTCAAATTGTGATTTTATAATCATTTTTTCTTACTTCCTAAAAATAAGAAGGGCAATTGCAAGACTGTTTAGGGACAAATGTTGAGAGCTTCAATAAGATCTATAGTGTACTACGAAGCAACGTATCGATTCAGTTGTGGTACATCCAAGACAGATGTCAGACTGTAAATCTTCCAGCCGAATTCAAAGGCGTGGTAGGTTGCACCGCTCCTATAAGCCTTTCGAACCTGAAATTCTAATCTCAGGTCCTATATCTAGACAATTGCGTATTGCAAAACAATAACCTTCTAAATGCGCAATGTTTTCTATGGCGAATCTTTGAGGCTTTATTGAAAAAGAGAACTCGCAGTCAAGCGTGTCCCTTGTGGTTATTCGCTAATAGTTATTTGGGTATACGTAGAGACTCTAAAAGAGCATGGTACCGTTTTTTTCTGACAATAAAAGATTCTCGTACGTAAAAGAGTACGACCATTCGTAGCAGCATAATACTATGTTTACGTATAGCTATTCATTTGTATACATGATATATCAATATGCTACAGCCGTTATCTTGATTCGTACGACGATGGTATTATCATTACTATCCATCTTCGGATGGGTCCATCCATGTATTCGATGCAAAGTAAGATTATCCAAGTAGCACGGCGTGTTCGCCGTTGTCGTTCTGATTCTTATTACCCAGTGCTCGCTGCACAGATATGACACCCCGTGCTATGCCGTTGCCCTGAATACACCCCTATCGATAAATAGATATAGAAATATATTAGCGTCAGGTGCACTGGCTAACTGCAAAAAAGCACAGGTAAACGCACCCCCCATACGTATTGTGCGTCTCACGTAAATGTCGCCACGAAAACAAACGATAGTGTAATATTTCGTTGTGATACGATGCCGTCCATGAACGAACCGTCGTCTTCGTGGTCATAGTTCCATGCTGCTTAAATTTCTTTTATTTTTTTTGGCGCTTTGGCAGGAAAAACATTATACAACCCAATTGCATTACGCGTCATCGGTATCAAGACCGACGTTCTGCATCGATCTGAAGAAAAATCAGCTACGGATCGAAAAATCATTTTGATCAATCTGAAGATACTTCGTAATTGTCTGGCTTTTAATGCTAGGCAACAAGTGTCAGGTTAGCGTACGGCTTTCAAACGATAGTTAAAACGTGATTTTCTACAAGTTAGAACAGGTCGTTCCTGTTAAAACACTTTTGTCACTACCGCGCATTTGTTGGGTTTTTGAAGTGTGTGGTACAGAGTTGTAGGGAGTAGCGGATGGAGAACTGAGACAATACGAAGAGAACAGGATTATATTGAAGATCATACGTTTATGATTTACCCTTAGCGGGTCGTTAGCGGCTTAACGACGTTGAAGTACGGGCGGTCTCCCATTGCCAGGATGATCCGGAAGGGCGAAGACACTGTTGTGAAGTAGGTACGCCGCTCAGTACCCTAATCATTCGTTTGCAATGTCAAGCCTAAGCCTTACGACTCAGGAAGCCGCTGATGAAGCGTAAGGGATATAAGTTAGACATCTATCAGATGTGAGCGATTTGTACGATTCATGTACATGTCTCTATATTTGGCTCACTCAATAACATTAACGTAAACTTCTAAAACTGGGATACCCTTCCTCACTGACGGGAAGATATGGCTGTTTGATGGATCGATATGGCGTATAAAGTTGGGCGTAAATGGCTGTCACACTAGAGCATGTCTTTATCTTTGCTGTTTCTGTAAAAGTTTCTCTGCTGAGTTGTCACAGCCTTCGACATAGTTCCCCCAGGTGTAGGTTGTCTCAACTATCATGGGTGAAATTCAGAAATTTTGGAGAACCATTTAGGCCGCAATAAGTCTTGTTCCTAAGTAACTCCACTCATCAATTTGCAGGTGTCATATTGAAGAGTAGTATTTGATATATAGGAGTCCATCCTTACCAGAGATCTCGTGTAACTGCATCGGAGATGTCCGCGGCGAAAATCATCGATGTTTATACTCAAAAGTCAGATAAAAATTGGCACTCTATTGGTACAGCGGATGGCCACGTCACATGGCGAACGTATCGTATGTAATTCGGTCTGCTATATCTGTTGCCGGGTGCATAGTGGCGAGCAGAAGAGGGACTGATATTTTTCAACAACTCAAATATTTATCTATCTTTTTCTGTATACATTTGTATATCATTTAATATTTACCGTTTTGTTTATCTGCCTGTGTTCGGTCGACTCCCGCTGTCCCGACCGGTGTCGTCATCGTTGCAATGGCCCTCTTCTTCTCTCGTCGACGTTCGCTGGTCCATTTACTGATCATTTCGGTGTCGTCTGTTCAACGTTTGAATTTGAGGCAACGTGTGCGCATTCATTCAGATTAGCTTTTTATCCATACCATTATACATGTATATACGGCCGTCGACCATAAAGAAAAGCAACGAATGAAAGAGAAGTGTTTGTTTGTAATTATGCTTTTAGGGATAGCGGAATATGGGACGCGCCATGAGATCGGCGCGCAGAGACGCTATATACAACACAGGCAGACGTTTCTATACGATGAGTGCGGATAAGCGATTTGTGATTCCTCTCTATATCTGACATTCACAAACGTTTTGTCGGTAATATGGCTAAAAGATTACCTTACTGACAGTACGACCC